ACTTGAATCCATTTTACTGAAAAAATCCAGCAGCTTTTGTTTTGCCTTGATATCGGATATCATCGATTTACCAACACCATACTCGATAGATAGATTGCTTGCGGTTTCGCCACGTTCTAGTTGATTTATAATTGACAACTTTGCGTCCAAATCAAGCACACAGCGTTTGCATTTCACTGGGGGTAGCCACGCCAACGCTAGATAAAAGACGCTGATAAAGTAAACAGGTGAAAGGTCGCTTCGTATTCGCTGTGTATAGATCGGCTAGCGGCTCGATGTTACCAGATTGCTCTGGGATTTTCGAATGGTAAACTGCTACAAGATGTCCCGATTTTATTGGATTCAGCAAAGTTTTTAACACCTAGAACGATTGACATAATAAATTGTTGTAAAAATCCAGGTTGGCTACTGTGATCATCGGACGTAAACACTTCGACGCTGTGAACCATCAAACGGCCCGCCGACTGTGGTCATTGGTTGCCGTTGTCTGCTGATAAACCATCAAAGAGGCACACCAAGGGGTTGTCGTTTCGCCTCTCTTTTTCACTGCACTATTAAACTGGCGTCGCTTCTGTGGCAAGACATCCCAAAAGTTATTTTCTTTCTTTTTTTATTCCGAAGAGGATGTGACTTCTCATACTGGACATTAAAATTAAAAATCGGAAAAAACATGGGATCGGCCGCGTTTCTTTGACGGCAGTGGAACACCGTACAATTTTCCCGGGAAACGTATCCGAACTGTGGTGACTTACAACTTGGTAAAGTTAAGGATCTGACTGTAAACAGTGGAGAAGACATTTGATGAAGTTTGTGTTTTTAGGACATTTTTTATTTACAGTGGAACACTGGTGTGGCGTAATAGGCTTGTCTGAATTTAGGAAATTATTGGATACTGTAATTCGTTTCATTGTTTGCGCAGACACTGTAAACAATGAACGTACACGTGAAAGACGTCGGATTACATGTTGATAACAGCTTTATTGAAAGTGTTGCACCAGGAAATCACACAAGGCGACTGTAGTATTTATTGTTCACAGTTGACTTTTGTATTACTATACGGAACACAGCCAGACTGCATACAAACTTTGGGGGACACACAATAGGTTCGGATAACCGAACATTTCGGATAATCGACGTTCTACTGTATTGTGTTTTTAGCTGATGAAATGTTGTACAAATTACATTTTGAAAGTTTGTTGTTATTTGGTTTGATGAGAAAGTCTTCTGTTTAACTTTTCCCATGATGCAATGAATGCAGTGAAAAAGTTCAAAAGTGTTTGTATTCAAGACCTTAAGAATTTGGAAAAAAAAACATTAAAACTGATACATGCAGATCTGAAAATATCAATTTTTTTTGCTTCTGATTCAATAAGGTGTTGTTGGCCATCATGCAGTGCTTTAAAATGTTATGTAAACTTATAATGTATTTTATATTACATCCTAATGGGACCCACAACAAACACTACGTGATGACCACAGCCCTTTAACTGACTGGAATAAATTGAAAAGATGGTGGTTGTTATAATAAATAAATATAACTTGTTGTTTTATCATGTAAACTTTGGT